GGGGGGGGGGGGGGGGGGGGTGGAGAAACGATCTGCATGCCTTCGTTATTCGAGAAACAGGTCCCGAGTCCAGTCAGAAGTGAGTTGGGAATCCGGAACGATGACTGCTAGGGTCAACAAAAGGTACCAACGGCGAGCTCCAACAACTCGAGACCCGCAAAGCCGTGACCGGAATCGACCCCTTTTGTTTTCTTCCCCAGCCCATCCCACGTCTCTCACACGTCCCAAAAGACGACGAGGAACGGTCGTCTTCTCGCAGTGGGTTCCTGCTGTGTTTCGGCGGTGGCGGCGGGTGAAGCATGTCGATGTCCTTCAGAAGAAATCCCTCCTCCCTCCCTCCCTCTCTCCGTCTCTCTCACTCCATATCTTTCCAGGCTCCAAGAAGGAGGGGGGATCGTGACCACACCATCTTCTGCGACCCCTCCCTTCCGCCATGTAGGAAGTTGGAGGCAAAGTGGCTTCACGATCGCGTGTCGTCCGGTGAGTGCTTGACATGAACGTCAGGGACACGGCGCTAGACGGTTTCTCGGGGTGTGCTTTCGCTTTCTCTTCCTCTCTTGTCTTTCGATTCCATCCTGATCTCCTTGGCTCGGGTCGATTCTACCAAACCCCAGGTTGGCCTGCGGTCACTGGCCATGACCGTCGCGCTCCCCATCCACATCCGCCGTTCCCCCAGTCGGTCGTTGCGCAACTGGTAAGAGGAGGTCGACTTTGGCAGAGGATCCAGATTGGGACTGTGTGACATGCGGCTTGCTCTCTCTCCCTCTCTCACGAACACCCTCTCCCACACACTCTCTCTCTCCCTCCTCTGTCCATGTCCAAGCAAGGAAGAGGGGGAGAGGGGAAAGGGCGAGAGAAGGGATCGGAACCCGTTCGTGATCGTTTGGAAAGGAGGGAGTCACGCATAGAACAAGTGGCGATGCACCCCATCGCCAGTGTGATGTGGGCTTGGGCTGGTGATCCGAAAGGAGGAGGAGGAGGGACGGAGGATGGAGAGGAGCGAGGGCCAAGCGACCCAAATACCAGTGGAAAAGAAAGAGGAAAAGAAGGAGAGAAAGGAAGAGGATGGAAAAAATGAAAACGGAAATGAAAGGGAGATGAAACCGAATGGGAACACGGAAACAGTCAACAGTCCCAAGTCGCACAGGTCTCTCGACTCAGAGGTCGTAACACGGTGAGAGGATGGAAAGAGTCGTGAGTGTGAGGATGGAAAGAGTCGTGAGTGTGAGGATGGAAAGGGTCATGAGTGTGTGAGGATGGAAAGGGTCATGAGTGTGAGGATGGAAAGAGTCATGAGTGGGTCAGGAGTGAGCGAAGCGTTCGTCGGTCGAGCTGCCCCCTCCAAACCGAAGTGAAGGAATCCAAATCCCTAATCCGACCACCATCACCAGTCATCGAGAGCAAACCCAAGCGAACCAGGAATCCAAACTTCCCCCTCCAGACCACCACCACCACCACC